CACTAGCATCAAAGTCGTCCTTCAATTTTGTAGTAAACGGGGCAGGGACGAGGCGAATGTCATTGCCCCGAAGAGGGTGCGGAAAACATAGTTCCCGTCTTGCTACTCGGGGTGGGGACTACCCGCCTAACCAGGTAAATGGGGCAGGGGCAGGGACAGGGCGAAAGTCATTACTTCAAAGAGGGTGCGGAAAATATAGTTCTTGTTTTGCTACTTTCCCCTTTTAAAATTATTAATTTTAAATTGAAGTTTTTTATTAAATAAAAATAATCATTTTTGAAGAAAACATAAGTTGTTTTTAACAAATTGGTAAAAAAGTAATAATATTTATTAATTAAAGACATTAAAAAGTAAAAGCAAAAAATAAAATAAATAAAAAATGAAAAGAAATAATAAATGAGGCGATAAATAGAGCGGATGACCTGTCTCGCCCTACCTCGATCTCGTTCCATCCCACTTTAATAGGGTATGAAAATGGGCCAAGGTAACAAAATACTCGACAGGACGAGAGTGGAAATGATCGATCCGTCTCATACTTGCTACGTTGCTATCCCTACTATAACTATGTCCTAGAATCAAAATCGTCATCTATCTATGATATAGTATCAAAATCGTGCTTCAACTATTCACTAGTGTCAATTTCGTCCTCAAACTCTTCCCTAGCTTCATCCTCCCAACAATTTGCAAATGTCAAAGTCGTCCTCCAACTACCATGTATCATTAGAATCATCCTCAACTATTCAAAAATGTCCATTTTGTCCTCAAACTCTTCCCTAGCTTGATCCTCAAACTATTTGCAAATGTCAAACTCGTCCTCTTAACTATTATGTATCATGAAATTCATCCTTGATCTATTCACAAATGTCCATTTCTTCCTTCAATTACTCACTAGCATCAAATTCATCCTACAGGTTTCTGTACACGTCAAATTCATCCTCCAACTATCTACTAGCGTTGAAAATGTCCTCCAACTATCATATCGTGATAATTTAGTCTTGCAACTATGCCCAACATCAAAATCGTTCCCTAACTATTCACTAGTGTCAATCTCATGCTCTAACTCTTCTCTAGCTTTAAATTGATCCTCCAAGTATTTGCAAAGTTAAACTCATCCTCTAATTATTACATAAGATCAAAATCACCCTCCAACTACTCACAAGTGTCCTCTAACTACTCACTAGCTTCAGATTTATCCTTCTAGTATTTAGACATATTTGACTCATAAGTTTGACAAATTATGTGAAGTGAATTTTAAATATATGAAAAAAAAAAGCAAAATAAATATAAAAAATCGAGTAGCAGCATGCTCTACTTACATTTATTAAATATACAAAAATACTACTTGTACATCAA